TAGGCGGTGGAAAGGGGGACACGTGGAAAGGGAGCAGGAAAAATTCAGCGGAGAATGGGCGGGCACGACACGACCGAGTAATCAGTCGCAGGATTATAGCGCGCTCCGTGTGTGGAAGCACACAGTCGCTGCGTGTGTGTTCAGTTCTCCTCCCCTCTTTCTCTCGTTTTCTTGGTCCAACAGCAACACAGCAGCTATGGTACACCACGACGTTGCTTCTCCTTTCCTATCTTCTACCTCGGCTTCGTCGCCTTCTTCTACCGTTTCTTCTTCTGCCTCTTTACCTCGTGTGCCTTTTCCTCGTCTTCTTATTCCCTCTTATTCCACGCTGGGCAGCCGCCTCTCGTCTTTCTCCCGTTCGCGTGCTTGCCTCCTCCCTGCGTCGTCTTGTTATTCCTCTTTCTACGCCGCTTCTGTCTCCGTCAGGACTTTTTGCTCGTCGAGCAAGGGGCCGGGGACAGATCGGTTTCTTGCGGTGTTTCTGAGCCGATTGCGTGCGTAAGTATCGGCCGGTCGCGATGGTTAATGAACTTACCGTCGCCGCGGCCTCGTGTTTCACGCCCTGCAGCAGGGTCGCCACGTGTCCTTGCTTGCGTTCCCCGCAATTTGCCACCGATTCCTTCATCAAATTAGGGGTGACTCTGTTTCCTCAACACGTTTTTATACCTTTTACGTCTTTATAATTGGATAAATTGGCTTTACGATTTAATTGGTCGATGACAGACTCTGCCTTTCGGTTTAAAGAGTCGAGATAAGAAGTAGCTTCGCAGCAGCTCGTATTCATTCCGAAAAAAATCTTAAATATCTTCTCTTTTTTCCATTGCACGCACGCAAAATGTAAATACTTGGAATATTCGTTGATATAGAGGGAAAAGGCACGCTCCAAGTAATTGGTTCTAGGAATTCGTAGTAATAGCAACGGCCAGTTAACGCGACACGGTTGTAGTTACCAATGGTACTGTCATTCGTTATACAAGTTTTCCCTCCAACCATTGAAAACTGTAACTACCTCATTTTTACGTCATCTTATACCAATAATAAGGAAAAATCGATCGTACTGCATGTCCGATGTGTAACTAGCAGTAGATGGTTTCCGGGTTACTAATTACACGACAGGGAAAGACTCGCAGAAACGTGGACGAAGTTTCTAACCAGGGTACGCGTCCAGAGTCTGCTTCTTTCTCAAAGTATCCGCGTTACAGTAAAAACCATCGGGGATCCACTTTCACGTCCGCCTAACGACGGTGCTCGTGCTCATCGATAATTTGTAAGACTAGTCGGTCTAGCGGCGAGCATACA